GGCTTTCCCTAACTAATTCTATTTTTTTCTTTTTTATTTTCAAACATTTTTTTGACAAGATGATCAATAATTACTGCTAAAAAAACGCCATCATTGAGATACAATAATAAACTTTTGTTAATCACGATTTTTTTTGCTTTTTTCTTTTACGCAATTATTTGGAACACTAATATATATATATATATATATATATATACATATATATTTAGCGCCTATAAGAAGAAGCTAGCTTTATCAGTCAAATATGTTGTGCTTTTGATTAACTAATAAAGTATTTTGGGGTTGTGTATATATATTTCTTGGAAGGAAAAGGGAATTACTTTAAGACAACCCAAGAGATATGGTCCCGCAATCTTTAGGGTTCCTGTTGTGAACAAGAAGATTTCTTAGAAAATAGGGGGAGACCCGAGTCAAAAGTACTCACACACGTAAAGAAAAGAATTACATTCTCTTCAAGAAACATGCATGAGTTCCAAGCTGTGCTTTACGTCTTTTTAAATACTTTTTTTTAATTACGTTTAATTCGTAGGGTTTTTAACTTCTAATGAAGTTCCAAATTACGTGTGTATTTCTTTGCGTGTGTAGGTTTCTCTTTTTCTTTTTTCTTTTGTTTTTGTCACATTTTCTATTTTTCTTCATTTTTGACACAATATTTTGCTCTTTATTGGTTAGTTTTCCTCATTTTAATAACATTGAATATTGATAGTGATAGGCCTTTCAGATAATTATTTATGTGGCAACTAATTACTTAAAAAATTTATTATTAATCCCCAACATATAAAAAGCAAAGTCACGGAGTTTCTCCTCATAACAAACACAATAAACAGGTCCCACTAATTAGTTAAGAAACCTACATACCTTAAATTTGAGATTTTTTTTTTTTTTTTTTACCTTTTCTTTTTCCATGCCCTTGTAATTAGTTAAAGAGCTAATGAAACTTGAACATTAACATGAATTATATTTTCCATGCATGCAGGAAAGTCATTGTTACCAAGCAAAGATCTTGAGTGGTATTTCTTCAGTCCTCGAGATCGAAAGTACCCGAACGGGTCGAGGACTAATCGAGCAACAAAAGCCGGATATTGGAAGGCCACCGGGAAAGACCGAAAAGTGAATTCGCAGACGCGTTCTGTAGGGATGAAGAAAACCTTGGTCTACTACAGAGGAAGGGCTCCTCATGGCTCTAGAACTGGTTGGGTTATGCATGAATATCGTCTTGATGAAAGAGAGTGTGAGACTCCTTCTGGTTTGCAGGTTTGTGCATTAATGCAAGGCCTAATAATATTAATTCTTTTCTTTCTTATATATATATATCATTAGATTAGATTTTCCCTTTCCTTTTTCCTTGCAAATATATTGGAGGATGAGGGGCAAAAAAAAAAAAAAAAAAGGGACACTGTGCATCATTTCACCGTTTCTCACTAAAATACCATAATATTTTGAGAGTGTCCTCCGAAAGTACTCAAAAAATAAAAACTAGTAATTTTCAATATGAAGACCCCAAATATACATATACAAAGAGTTACCTATCATAAAAGGTGTAAAGGTAATTTTATACTACTTTGAAAAAATTACTCAACTTATCCCTAGAATGCATGATCAGTCTGGATTTTTATTATTTAGTCTTGATTAATACCCCTTTTGACTAATATAGTTATCCATCTAAAAAGAATATTAATTAAGCGTGATGAGTAAAAATCCAGACTCATATACTCTAAAGAGTATTTGTCTCATTTTTCATTTTATTTTGCATTGTAACCTTTGATTTCTTTTGGTATTGAAAAAAATTAAATCATGCAAGGTATTAATGTCGTTCTTTTGACTTCAAAATTGGAATAATGTCTATAAAACGTTACGTATATATATATATATATGTGTATGTGTGTATTAATATGAGATGTATAAATGTCCTGCAGGATGCATATGCTCTTTGTCGTGTATTCAAGAAGAGTACCTGTGCCCCAAAGATAGGAGAGCATTATGCCACAACAAGCACTAATCACCATATGATTAGCACTAATCATATCGCTAGTGATCATTCATCGAGCATTGAAATATATTCCGATGGAAGATGCGACGACTTTGAGAGCTCCAATTATCCAATGCCACCAGACTCTATGGCAGTATCAGTGTTGCACAGATCAGCTTCACATCTTAATGATCATGCCGGCGGAAGATTCACATCAGATGCAAATATATACACGCAATTCTTATCTCATCATGAGGACCCATTTAATACCTTTTCAAGCCCTTCATTTCCCAATTATGGTAGCACGTCATACCATCCATCTAAGGTACGGTACTTTCTCGTATATATAAAAAAGTATTATACATATATATATATATATATATGTTCATTTCTATGTAATTCATATCAAAATTAGAATATATTAAATTTGTGCTTTCTGAATTAAAAGATAGTTTTTTTTGTAAATCTTTTATGAATTAAACTTGTAAGCACTTCCTGCATTTTTTTTCTTTTATTTTAAGACATAAATTTTCTGTTATAGTCAGAAAAAAATTTAAAAAATAGTAACTAATAATTCACTTGTCACAATATATATTTAGTATAAAAGTTAGTATGTATAACATTGGTCATGAAGTATTATGAAAGATTAATTACACAATTCAAGATTCTTTTGTTGAATAGTATGTATAGCATTACTCATGAAGTATTATGAAAAATTAATAAATTACATATTTGATCAAGATTCTTATGTTCAACACGAGTGTTATTAGACTGTATGATACATAAACATACCCTAGACTTTATAAATATAGTTCATCAACGTTAATTTAGGAGTGAAAGTAAGCAAGTTAATTGAAAGAATTTGTCTTGAGGAATTTATTTCATATATCATATAATTATAATCTGACCTGTTTTTTTTTTTTTTTTTTTTTTTAATATTGAAAGGTTGATGTAGCACTAGAGTGCGCAAGGTTACAGCATCGGCTCTCACTTCCGCCCTTAGAGGTAGAGGACTTCCATCAAGCTATAGGGATCAATGACTACAAAATGCTGCAATCAAACAGTACTGCTCGCCACGCCGCGGATCAAACGTCGGCGAACGAAACCGATATTTTGCAGGAGATTCTTTCGGTTGCTCATGTTTCTCAAGAACTGATCAACCAGCCCAGTTGTAACTTTGCGGATCACACGACGTGGGGAGGGAATTATGCTCCGGCGGCAGATGATTTTACGTTCATGGTTGGCAGAGAAGCTCAGTACTGTGGTACTCAACAAGCAGCTTATAGCAACAACGACATGAATTCTATGAGGTATATGCAGGAAAAATCATGGGAAAATCCCATGATTAATACGAGGTTAGTAGAGATTGGAGATCTGGAAGAAGATTTCAAGACGGATCAGAGGGCGGTGGAGAACCTAAGATGGGTTGGAATGTCAAGCAAAGATGTAGAGGATGAGGTACTTAATGTTTAATATTCATATACATACATACATACATAAAAAAACACTTATAATGCATATATATATTAAATTATATATACATATAATACATAAAACGGAAGTGCTCAGGTAAAAATTAACTACACGTATACGCTAAAGATTCATGTGAAACCTGCAACGAGTAATTTTATATTCTAAAGGCAATGCATTAGCTAGAGTCTCTTTTGTACTACTTATTAAGGGAGACAACATTACTGAACCGAATCTAGTCCTGAATGAAAAAAGTCCGTTTCTTTTAGCTAGTTCTGTATTTACAATGATTTTTATTAGTAAATTAGTGGGGGTTTTGATTAAAAAAAAAGGTTGCTTATTGAGCACCAACCTAATTGGAACGTGCTAAGTTTTACAGATATTGTTTTTATATTTTTATTTATAAAAGATGGGAAACTTTCAAGGTCAAAACTGTTTTATTTCATTATGAGTAGAAACTGTACTTGTTTTTTAGCTATTGGATAGTCTGATTTGTGAATGGGAGTAATTTTATATTGTTCGTTATAATTTTTTTTTTTTTTTT